CTTTTTGGCCCCATTTCCCTTGGGGGCTTTTTAGTGAGGGGAAAGGGGGATTTTGAGTGGGGCCCTTTTTTTCCCAACTTCGGGTATTTTTTTTTTAAAAAAAAACATGAAGTTTTTGAACCCCAAATTTTTTGCATTAAACTTACCACCTCGAAAAACCCACTTTCCCACCAACATACCACGGGGGTCTTTTCACAGTCCCCAAATCCAGAACAAATTCAAGAAAGCGTACAGTATTATATAGAGCCATTATTGCATGGAACTCCGTTCCATCTCATATTGTTAAAATAAACAGCAAACCTGGTTTCAAAAAACGGATAAAGCAACTCCTCACGGCACAACGCCTCTCCCCTATTTGACCTAGATAGTTTGTGTGTATGTATTGATATGTAGGCTACGAGGTGTAGTTCTGTCCTTGAGCTGTTCTTGTCTATTAATGTTCTGTATTATGTAATGTTTCATGTTTCGTGTGGACCCCAGGATGAGTAGCTGCTGCTTTCACAACAGCTAATGGGGATCCTAATAAAATACCAAATATAAGGTCCCTGGTCTGATGAAACCAAGATTGAACTCCTTGGCCTGAATGCCAAGGAGAAACCTGGCACCATCCCTACTGTGAAGCATGGTGGTGGCAGTATCATGCTTTGTGGATGTTTTTCAGCGGCAGGGACTGTGAGACTAGTCAGGATCGTGGGAAAGATGAACGGAGCAAAGTACAGAGAGATCCTTGATGAAACCTGCTCCAGAGCGCTCAGGACCTGAGACTGGGGCGAAGGTTCACCTTCCAACAGGACAACGACCCTAAGCACACAGCCAAGACAATGCATAACATTTACACATTTACGTCATTTAGCAGACGCTCTTATCCAGAGCAACTTCCAAATTGGTGCATTCACCTTATAGCCAGTGGGATAACCACTTTACAATGTTTCTTTTTGTTTTTTTTTGTGGGGTGGGGTAAGGGGGGGGTAGAAGGATTACTTTATCCTATCCCAGGTATTCCTTAAAGAGGTGGGGTTTCAAGTGTCTCCGGAAG